CCTAAACCCCTAAACCCCTAAAGCCGCAAGCCTTAACTCAGAAGCCTCAACTTGACAGCGAGGTCCGAAGCCCCAAAGCCTGAAACCCAGCCCTTAGAACTGCAAACTCGCTTAACCTAGGTTCCCCAGTAGTGCGCTTTTACCCTTTTTTGTTTTGGGGTCCCTTTTCCCTTTTTGGGTTTAGGGTTTAGGGTTTAGGGTTTAGGGTTTCGGTGTCCCTTATTAAACCCAAGGAGTAGGAAAAAGGGTGCCCTTATTGTAAGGGGTCTACTGGGGAACCTAGTAACCACAAGCAATGAGCCGCCACAGACCCTAAACCCAAGCCCTGGAACCACAAGCCCCATGTCACCACCCTAACCTCAAGACCTTCAATCAAGCTTTTAGTCGAAACCTTTCAGGTGGCCAAGGAACCAATCGTTAGCCTTGCCTGGCATAGAATAGCCATAGCTAAGGCTAGGGCGTCGATTGCGGGTGTTTGGGTGTGCGTGCGCCATCGTTTTGAGATGACGAATCTCATGTTCTGTAGCTTTCCAATTCCAACTAAGTTGTGGGCAGTTTTGGCAACTTTGCTCAGGCACCGGGACACGAGGATGTCTTGGATGCAGTCAAGGACCTCGCCGCTCGCCCCGGTTTTTGTTCTGGGTTTGTGGCTCGAAACAACCAACTTGGACGAAGAAGTCTTCGAAAAAAGGGTTGAAGGCAAGCTGAAGCACTGCAGAAAGCATGGACGACTGGAGTTACCCGAGGAAACGTCAGGAAACTATTCAGCCGTTCAATGCTTGAAGATAATATTTCTGACGTTCTGAGGTTGGGGGAGGGAGGGGGGGGTTGGTCATCTTGAGTCGTCGCCCACTAGTACCCCTGAATCCGTGTTACTTTAAAAAGGATCCGCCGGTCATGGAACAGCTGGAAAACAGGGGAACCCTTGGAGTTGGGTTCCCAGAAAGTGAGCCCCGGGCTTCAGATGTTAGACTTTCTCTTCATGCAGCCCCAGACCCCATCGGAAGGATTGCAACTTAGGAGCTGAGTCTAGGTAATCTTTCACCTTTTTGGGCTTTTCTAATCCTACCAAATTTCCCCACAGCCCATGAAGAATTGCAGAAATGGAATCCCGGAAGAATACTGGTCTTGACACATCCCAATGCCAGGATGCCTGTCGCAGGGGTTTCTCCAAAACCTTGAATGCTGGAACCCTAAGCATTTAGGGCTTTAGGGTGTAGGGTTTAGGGTAGGTCCTTCGGGCCCTTCCAACGCCGATGTTCAAGCTCTGTGAGCCTGCACCCTCATCCCTTATGTTCAGGTCGATACAGGGACAGCGCAAACAGGCGCACGAGCGACTCGAAGGGGCTGTGGCACTGGAGTTCACGACTTACGGTGGATTTAGTCTTTAGGCCGTTTAGGGCTTTTGACTTAGAGTGGGGGTTAAGCGCCCTGAAATCCTGTTTTCTTTTCGGGATAGTGGTATATGATGATTGAAGCGGGTACTGCAAGCTTTGCCCATCTACCAATCGAGTTTGCAGCCCGTATTTGGAGTTTAGCCTTGAAGCTGTCATTAATACCTTTCGGGCTGCACGGTAACCCTAAACCCTAAACCCTAAACCCTAAACCCTAAACCCTAAACCCTAAACACAAACTTGTAAGAAGTCTATGCCAGCAGCATGGTCGCAGAAGATCTAGTCCTAAACCCGAAACAATAATATAGGGGCCTCAATAATTACCTATACTAGTTTTGGGGGTTCCCTTTTATAATTAAAGCATAAGGGACCCCAAAACCCTATTCTAATTATTAAGGCTTCTAGATTAATCCCTTTTGTGCTGTGAAGGAAAAACGACCTCTGAGGGTTCATGGACCAGCTGAACCCTAAACCCTGAACCCTGAACCCTAAACCCTAAACCCTAAACCGTGGACGACTTTCTGAGCGTTCGGCGGTTCGTGCCGACGGGCCGGTTAGCGAAGGACAAAGGCGAGGCGGAGCTCTTGGAGATCGTGGTTCCTTCCATTTTCGTTTATGATGTTTGAAACATTTTTTATGCAATGTATTCTGAAATTTCATATATATATATATATATATATACTACATATAATATATATATATATATACTACATATATATATATATATCTCTCTCTCTCTCTCTCCCAAAATGCAAACTGCTGAGTGGGCGAGGCCAGCAGCCCCGAGGCGGAACACAGCCAGGCTACTACCCTAAACCCTAAACCCTTATATGGAAGCCGAAATACATATCCACACCATCCGGGGGATTCCTTATTATATTTGCAGTAGAATATCTAATATACCACAAACCCCTATTCTAATTATTAAGGCCCCTGCATTGCCTGCTGGTGTGGATGCAACGGCGACCCGTTCCACTGCGGCGTCCGGGTCTCGGGCCTTTGTTTGGCCCCCTGACGCGGAAGGCAGTCCACCTAGACCTCTGCCCGGGTTTGGGTTTAACGGGCCCACTAAACCCTGAACCCTAAACCCTAAACAAAATCTAACCCGTAAGACTTAAAGTATGTTAGGACCGTTAGGATTAAGGGTTTAGGGCTCCGAAAGCCTGTAATTATGCAATAAAGCTGGAAACATGAAGGCACTCTTAGACACTGCTTGCCTAGTTGGAGGACCGTGGGAATTAGCAAGCAAGGTTACAAGCACTTTAAATTTAAATAGGAGTATAAGTAGTACTAACTGGACCGACTTTATTTATAAATCCAGTTACTCAGTTCCATGATCCTTTCAGCAGGGACGTGGAGAGGGCTCTCTGTCGGCAGGCTTCGAAATCTTGAACCGCGTGGACGTCGCGCCGGCGCTGATGATTATGGACCTCGACCAAGAGGCCTCCTGAATCCATGGGTTTAGGGTTTAGGGTT